AAAAAATGTTAAAAAAACCCATCAATTGTATATAGTTGGAAACTCCATATGTATTTAAAAGCATAAATAAGGCTACTTACAATTGTACATTAGCTTTTCTAAGATTTAATTTGTGCAAGACCTTCTAGAACAGAAAAAATGTTAAATGAGTAGTCAAAATATGTAGTTGAAACATGAAAATATTAAGTCAAAATAAGGAAAACAGAAACTGCCTTGAATAGAATAATGATTATAACATATGACAGAATTTTTTTTTAATATTAAAAATTTTGACATCTAGTATTTTAAGACTCTTGGGTATGGTGGTGAGTATACATATTATGACTGAATCTGTAGAATATAATATAAAATAAGAGGCATACACTTGTCAGTGTATTTGTTTTTTTCCTTTCCTAATTCATTTGTAATGACTATTTCATACACATTAGATATTTCTCATAGTAGGTATAAGGGCTTTAAGTAGTCTATAAATCTTTCCCTCATTTTGCTCAGCCTTTGATTGTATTTGTACTTTTTCATCTCGGTACATTTTTCCTCTTTTCAAGGAAATACTGAGACTGACTCACCAGATTAAAAAAAAAATACTTCATGCTCTGATATTAAACCATGAAACTGTTAGATTTTGCACTGTCAGTTCAGGAAGTTTGAAGAGAAGACATCAGAACTATCTATGGTTGTGACAATCATTTAAGGAAGCACAAAGGGAATCACTCTGACTACATTTGCCACTTCTTTTCAGGAATCCTTTCTTTTAACTATTCCTGAAGATAATTTCCCACTACTCCCTCTTGTCTAGGATTTTTTTTTCCCTACTAAAAACAGATTTTTAGATTGCCCTACTTCTGAAAATATAGCAAAAAATTTTAACGGGGAACAATTTTCTGATCTTCTTACATGGAGAACAGATCGCTTACCCTTTACATGACTCCTGTGATTAGGGAAAATGAAGGAGCATTTATGCACAGGGCATTGAAATCCTCCATTTTCCTGCCATTATGGCATG